TGAGTGTTTTCCTTCCTCAAGAGTAAAACTTTTGTACACTTTTAACTCACCTTGTTTTTAAGGTTTGGTTACCACATGATCCAAAGCACTATGAATTATCAATTCCTAATATAGCTGTAATTATTTGGTGCTCATATATCCCTTGACAAAGTCTGTTATTGGTATCAGGTAATTGTGCTGGAGGGGGCAAATATTATTAATTACTTGTTTGCAAAGAGATGATTACTTCTGGTGGTGTTTTGAAGGTGTTATTATTTTAAGAAAGAAACTACTTGAAATCAAATGTTCGAACCTTTTCAGTGCATTTTGATTCTAGAAGATGGGGTAGAATTGCAGGGCATTACACTCTTACTTCTAATCACATATCATTGCAATCTTGCCATGAAAAACAAGCATCCTATGACTAACCTATCACCTACAAAGTAGGAACAAGCAGGAAGCAACTTTGAGTATTTGGCAAGTAAACCAAGAATAAAAAGGAGCATAATTATGCTAATCAGAAAGCCAATCTCAAAACAATTTCTAAAGCAGTGAAGGCATCAAGCCAAATGCCTAGAGTAATATTTGCATTTACCAAGCAAGCACATGACACCAGAAAAATTTTATTGATACTGTAATTGTTACAAAAGCAAATTGTTGTCAAAGGTAGCAACATTAATTCCTTTCAACAGTTTGGTCAGGGAACATAGAAAGAAAACAAACCCCTTAGGCCCGTAGTGAAGTTTCACAGTCTTTACTAACATGTATTACTGTGTTAATTTACTTAAGTATTTTATATATTAACAATTATACTTCAGGAAGTAAAAATGTAGTTGAATGCACATTTTAAAGTTTTATGCAAAATTATGTATGGGAAAGATGTTCTTTTTCGCGATGCATGGCACTCCTGTTATTTTTTTCAGTATTTCTTTTCATTACTTGATGCTGGAACACTCTGGAAACAGGAATATTGAAGCAGTATAAGAAAGACTGCAGATATTTTTTATTCACTGACATTCGTTTTCTATTGTCTAAATCTAAAGACAAGGAGAGATGCCCCAGATTACAGGAAGACTAATACTACATTATGAAACAATTGTTATCTGGCAGAAACGTGGGGAGTTTTTTGTAAGGCAGGAGCCGGGGACGCAGCTCCAGCTCAACATCGAGCAGCAGCTGACCTCGGTGGTTCTTCCTGCTCCGACCGCGAGAGGGCAGCCAGTGCCCATTAAATCATTGCGAGAAGCCTGACCTCGCTTTAGGAAGAACTTTAGGTTCGGGGGTTTTAATTATTCTGCTTCATTTTAATTAAAATTTTGTGGAAATTAAAAATGAAGCTGTTTAAAAAGCATAAGCGTACTGTAGTAGAATTTCCAAGTTGCTTGGGGCCATTTTAAGACCTACTGTACAAATTTCTCAGTATAGCCTTTCATTTAGGTCTTTTATGGTTTCAGTAGGATATGCTTATCTCCTCTACAAAGAGTAAATAATCTGCATTAATAAGATGCTACATCTTTTAAGTCAGTTCCTTGATTGCAGATATTTTTTATTTATTTGGGAAAAACAAGGTAGGGCATTTGGTGTTACCTTCTTAGAGCAGCTTTTTAACAGAAATGTGCTGCTACTAACTTTCCAAATTTTAGATACTATTTCCTTCATCAATAGGGCAGCAGATAAATCTTTTGCATGTGAGCTCACTTTTAAAACAAATATTTCAACTTTAGTGGTGTAAACTGTGGAGTGGAGCTGTATAAAAACATACTGTGCCAGTTTTTTTAAAGCAACCGCCTTTCCCCTTTGATAGTGCCATCGTGCCTCTCAGCCATGCATTTACAAGCCTGAGCATTCAATGGGAACTGCTGCAGGTTCAGCACTTTTGAGAAACAGCTTACTTAGAAGTCTAAAGTTGGATTTAGAAGCTTAACATTTTTGGGAAACTTGTTATGTTTTCATAACAAGTTACGAAAATCTGCATAACTTATTGTTGTTGTTAAGGCAAATATCTATCCGGTATATTTATGCTGCAACCAGTTTAGATTTTTTTACTTCCACTTTGGATAACTAATCCTGGTTAAGAAAGCTTTCCTTAGCTTAGGGTGAGAGGAGTGTCAGAATTCCTCTCAATCCAATTTCTGTAACACACAGCACAGTGTTATTCAAATCAAGTTGTAGGCCTGGTAATTCTACCTAGGTATCTATAAAATTACCTAGGGAGGGAATAAAGTTTAATAACAATTAAACTGAAAGATATATATAAAAATAATGCACCCTACTCACTTCTTTCGTAAAGGAATTGGGTCAAAATAAACTGCATATTACTCTTGAATTTCATGAAATCATAATATCAAATGTTTCTTGTTTGTTACAGCATAATTTGAATCATTTGCACAAGGAGTGAGTTCGAGATCATGTATTCATTAGTCAGACTAATTTTTTTTTTCCCTTTGGCTTGCATTTTTGGTCTTTACATGTAAGAGAAGGGCAGCAATCCAAAATATACTTGAAAAGATCTGGCATTAGCTCTATCTGTTGAACAAACGTAAGTTAATTTATCCTTGAACCTAGAAACTGAATGCAGCCTAGAACAAGAGAGAAAAAGCATGTTTTAGTAGTTCTGCTGCCACAGGATCCAAGATCTGCCTGACTACCAGAGATCAGGAATCTATGCTAAACAGAGGAAATTATAAAAGACTTTCATTTGTGAATCAAAAGCTTACAATAAACAATGGAGAAAAATTTTCCAAGAGGAAATATAAAATAATCTGACACATCCTTGGGTTAGCTGGTAGACAACAGAAGTGGAAAACAAATACTAAAATTCAAGCCAGGAATACAATACCCACCACATCCTTCCTTTTCTTCCCCTGCTTCCCCCTCCCCTCTCTCAGAGAACGGTGCTTAATTTAAGACAACATCCTCTTCTGAGGGCTATATGTGCTTGTGCAATGTGCACCACAGTTTCACAGTCAATCTGTGCTGCAGAATCAAAGCTTTTTTCTCTCCTGCCCCCTACTAGTATTTCAAGCTAGTGATGAAAGTGAATATTTTCATTACTAATAAATATTTTTAAATAATATCTTCATACTAATAAAATACCTTTAAATTTTCAGACTGCTTAAACTAGGGGAGCTAAGACAAATATGCACTCTAAGCTCTGAGAACCTAAAGCTAACTTTAAATTCTTACCAGTAATATCCCATAATCCTTAGTCCTTTTATTTCTGTAGGTAACACAAATAGCAATTGTCATGTCCAGGTGACTGCAAATGGAGAATTAATCATGCACTAAAAGCGTACTGAAAATGGGGAAACTGGGTAGAAGAGTTTAAATCTAATATCTGTACATGGAACAAGAAAATATCAGTGGTTTTGACATTCATTTTCTGTTAGCATTTCACAAATTTTCTCTACAGCTGTATCACAGTACTGCAGAAGTCAGCAGAGAAAAAATTAGGCTCCTTGCCAGAACATAAAACTTCTTATGTATTACAGAATGTATCAACATCTCAAATTCACAGAATGGTTGAGGTTGGAGAAGACCTCTGGAGGTTATTTGGTCAAACTTCCCTGCTCAAGACCTTCTTGCCCAAAACCATGTTCAGATGGCCTTTATATATTTCCAAGGATGAAGACTCCAAAACCTCCTTAAGCAACCTGTGTCAGTACTCAGTCACCATCACAGTGAAAAATCATTTCCTAAAGTTCACCTGGAACCTCCTCTGTTTCAGTTTGTGCCTCTTGTCCTGTCAGTGAGCACCACTGAAAAAAAAACTGGCTCCATCCCCTTTGCATCCTCCCTTCAGGTATTTATATACTTTGGTATATATTATATACTTTGGTAAAATCCCTCTGAACAACATATAGTTGTAGATAATATAAAATTCAAAACATGGCTGAAGACATTGATGAGCGCCATTGATGCATTCATTGCTCTTCCTATCTGCAAGCTAAATAAAGCAACTTGATGCTGTGGTGTTATGGCTAAAGCCTAATTCAGCTAACAGACAAATGTCATTTAATTCATACCTCATGTGAAAAGCCTGTGTAGGTGCAGCCACACTGAGCCAAATGCTTAACATTCAATATTCATCTGAAACATTTCACTTGAGTAAGTAGGTACTTGAGTAGATTGAGAGAGATGCTTTAGGTACCCCACACAGTACCTCACCCTGAAATTCTAGCATTAATTTGAATTTAGTAGTGGTTTCACCTGTTTTGAAGAAGATTAAATTAAAATTAGGCACAGTATTTTAAGTTCCAAAAAAAGAGTATAAAGTCAGCAAACTTTATACTTTATACTTGGTTTATTGAATGGGTTTTTTGAGTTTTATTTTGTCAATTTCAGCTGGGTTTGGTAACAGCTGGATAAAAAAAAAAAAAAAAAGGGAAAAACCCTTCATCCTTTATGTCTCAGTTTTAACACATAGTCAACCAGTTTTTCTCCAACTCGGTATCTAGGGCTTCTCATTAAAAGCTGTTGGGTTTTGAACTCTTTCTTGGAAATTTAATTTTGAAAGATTCACTAGGAAGAATCTAACTGTTATGTGGTATTTTGAAATAGTTTATACTGTATTGTTTTCCGGAAAAACTGTGTTCATCGCAGCAGCTGGCTATTCTTTCCTTTCAGCCTCTTCTAGTGTCATTAGATCACGGAGTTTTCAGGACCGTGGCACTTTGCAAGTTGCATGGTTCTGGCCACTCTGTTCAGAGCGGTCCCAGAAAGCATTAGACAAGAACTTTGAAAAGAAAGAAAATGAAAAAAGAAGGTATTTGGGAACGCTTCTCCTCCGCTCGGCGCAGTGCGGGAGCTGGGACCAAGGGTTGCCCGGGGCTCCCCTCGGGGCTCCCCTGGGCCGCAGCCGCAGCTCCACTGGGGCTGTGACAACATTCAGCGCCCCGGGGAAGTATTATTAAACCCCCGCTCTACGCGACAGCCCCGAGTCGGCCCCGGAGGGCAGGACACGAGCGGAGCCGCCCTGTCCGGCCGCGGCCTCTGCCCCGGCCCCGGCCCTGACCCCGTCCCGGGNCCGAACAGTGGCTGCTCTGGGATAAGGTGAGGGGCGGCGGTTCCGGCCAGGCAGGGGCTGGGTGGGGGCAGGCTGGAGAAGGGTCAGGAGGCGCGGGGTGACGCCCGGCTGTTGCGCTGTGCCGCTTTGGGGTGCGGTAAAAGCACCCGTTTGCTCCTTTGGTTCTGCTTTCAGAGCTCTCTGACCAAGGGATGCTCTCTCTCCACCCCTCTGTCCATCCCCATCGGGTGGGGCTGCGGGGCTGCTGCCGCCCCCCGCCCGGTGCTGCGGCTCCGTCACCTGCCGCCGCTTCCGTGCCGAACCCCCCCCGGATGGTCTCAGTCTGGCTTTTAGCTGTACTGAACGTCTGTCTCAAAAGGGCCTGTATTGTTCCGAACCGCGTCAGTCGCAGGGCAGTTGATAGACTTAAATTATTAACGACTAGCACACATTGCCGTGTTACCTGTCTCTTGGTGTTAAAAACCTCCTGGTGCCTTCCAATTTTTGTTTACTAAAATACTGATCCCAAGAGACATGTCACTTCAAAAACACTTGGAAATGCAGAGGTTGTCAGTCCTGGTTTTTTTCAAGTGTTATTTCCCTTCCTGTTGAGACTTATCTTTGTTTTTGGTTTTGACAGCTCTATATGCAGAATTAAAATCTTCTCTGTGTTTCTGTTTTCCACATACCTAAAGAAAGAAGCATCTCACCATAGTGATGTTCTGGAAATGGTCATGTAGTTGCTGGCTGCTGCAGGTCCCACTGAGTTGCACACCACTATTGGCACATTTGGTTTGCATTTTTTATGTCCCTTTTCATATAATTTGTTCATTTGGTTTTATTGGAACACACTGGCCATTGCACCCTCTTCAGTCACGTGACTGAAGAGGCCTGAGGACTCAACAATGCTCTCTGAGTTTTGTGCAGCACACATACCTGTTTGGTAAGGCATCTTCTACTTATTTCAAAATTATCAGTGGAAGCATATAATAATTCTTTTTTTAGTGTTCTTTCCAGGTTCTAAAGGACATCATTAGAAGTACCTCGAGCTTGTTGTGATTCTTTATTAAAGATCAGTCAGCTGTTTAACTGAGCAGTTACCCAGTTCTGGTTTTATTAATGATAGAGCTGTGCCAAACTAGTCCTCTTTTCAGAAATGCTAATGTGTCACGTCAAATTACGATAAGCTTTTGTGCCTTTTTTTCCCAGTTTAATTGACTTTGAGAAAATAGTTTGGTTTTAAAGCTTCTTATTATCTGTGTAATAATTTGCTTTTCAACTGGTTATTCCCTCTGGAATATGTTAAACTCCCTGGAAATCTAATGCAGTATCCCTTATAGCATCTTTACTTTTGAAAGTTTAGCCCTTTGTTAACACTTGCATCTTTGACTCAGTAATAATTGACTGGTGTGCAATACCCATTGCTGATTGCTCAGAAATGGTGAGGTATTTTAATTTCTCAGGGAGTTGTTACATGTTTGTATTGAGCAACAGAATCACATATAACCCTTGTCCATTTACTCTGATATTAAAAAAAGTTCCTCTTTGACATGCAGAGATAGGTTAATATTTAATGATGATAAGCCCTACATTTCTTACAAAATAATTGTCTGCAGGAGCAAGCCCTTATGGCTGGTGGAGGTTCTGCTGACCTAACTGGGAGTTCCTACCTACAATTACTGTGCTTGTTACCAGGCTGTTTTCATCACTCTGTTCATTACAGTAATAGCATTTTTTTCATTCTTTCTATTATCAGTCATAGAATTATGAATGGAAGGTAGTTCCTGGTTTTAATAAAAATAAAATCTGTTTAGTCAGAAGCTTTTCCTCTTCTCTAAAACCTTGTGGGGACTCCTCTACTGATGATAAGTCATTGGGTCTTCCTGTAGTGGATTAATAAAAGTAAATAACTTGAGTGTTACCAGGTGATGTTCAAGCTAATTGCACTAGTGGATATTAACTTGGTATTAAATCACCTGCCACTGTACTCACAGAAATGGTACTCCCATACTCACATCTGGTTTAATTTGAAAGCAAAAAAAGCATAACCTGAGAGACTCAATAAGAAGGGAAAAAGCCAGCACTTCATCCTTCTGATCCAATTTCGTCCTTCTTTGGTAGAGATGCTGTGAAGAGCTTGTTTAAGCAGAAGAAAAAGCCAAAACTAAGATTAGTTTTTTTACTTAGCTGTGTAAAATGGCATCATAGAATTCTCCACAAGAAAAAAAAAACAAAAAACCCCCAAAAAAGTAAGCAGATTCTTAGGAGAATATAGCCATAAACAATTATAACAATAGTTCTGGAAAAATCTTTCTTCCATATTGAATAGACTTGGCCTGGCTTTTACCATTATTTGATGTGGGGTGGAGGCAGGAAGTGGAGAAAAATTAATGCAACCAAGTTTTCTTTAGACAATTTTATGGCCTGAAACTCTTAAGGTGTGGGCAGCCACCTGGATGTGTACATTTAACCAGACTTAAAAAACTGGAGGTTCCTTCTAGTTTCACCATAGATACCAAACCTGGGAAATTCCTCTAACAACAACAAACAGCTGCTTGGTTGTGGGAGCTGCAGGATGTTCCTGATGCCCTTCTTCATTGGCATTACAGCTCCTAGTCTGTCAAACACTTGTAATATCTGCCTAAAAAAATGCTCATTTCAGTAGTAAGAGATGACTTGTGTGCACAAAGCTCACAGAGGAATTAAAAGGTGACTAGGCAGTGTACAAAAATGGATGCAAATGGTGTCATTCAGACTTTACCTTTGAGACATAGGCCTGATGTTAAAGCAAAAACTTGACGTCAACTTGTAAACAGCCTAAACTCAGTCATGCTGTCCTATATATTCTATAACAACATTGAATTATATTTATTCTTACAGAATGTAATTACTCAATAATAATAGATAATTGTGTCAAGCTGCCTACAAGGAAGTGTCAGTTACTACATTCTTGGACTGGTAAATTGGTAAATTTTGCACTGGAAATCAGTAATTCTGGGGTACCTAATTGTTAATTGCACTCAAGAAGTGGATTTCTTTTTTTTTTTTTAATTCTTTAGTTTATTCTGCATTATGCAGTTTGCTTATTAGTAACAAAGGCTCTTTAGCCTTTTAAGTATTTAAACTATGTTGTTTGTCCTGAGGCAATGGGAACACAGGTCAGTGGTTAGGACATCCCAACTCTGGTCTCAGTTTGATGTGCAGAATGTTTATACCTTTGTAGGCAAACTTACTCACATGCCTAATACTCTGTGTGTTCTGCAGCATTTTCTGAAGCTGCAGAAGATAGTTGGTTTTACATTTAATTGGTTTTTTCTTGTTTGCCTAGGATGATATGCTTTCCCTTGCTGTAAGCATACCTAGGTTATCCAGGAAATAGTAAAGTCTATGACTTTTATGAGGTCATTTGATTGCTTAGAAATCAAGTTTGTGTCCCTTTGGAAATTATAATCTTTGTACTCCAGAGTAAAGTATGTGTACTCATGCAGTGAGTAACCCGCTGCCTCTCTAAGTAATCCTGTTGTTAGGGGTCTGCCACCCACCATCTGTCCTCTTGGCCTGTCAGCTCTCAAGAAACCAAATACTGAACTTCACAAGTCTCATGTTATTACGCTGAGAAGTTGAGGTATACAGGACTTTGATAATTCCCTAAGTCTGGAAACAAAAGGAGTAAATAACAATGGAGATCTGTGGAAGCAATATATGAAGAAAAGCAGTGAAAGTTAGAAACTCCTCACTGTTCTCAAGTGGTCTGACATGGCCTTTTTGTTGCCACTCTCAAGTAATTTTATTTAAGAATTTGGCTGTAATTTCTAGGTTTTCATCCCGGGGTTGTGCTTATTTTTACAAGCATTACCTGCAAATATGTTGGAAATTATTTTCTGCCCAGTCTGCTTAGTTTTGCTGCAACCTCTGGTACTAGCCAGTCTTGGGACAAGGCTATGATTTAATTTGTTTTAAATGCTACATATAGTGCTAGAGAAATAACAAATATTTCTTAATAATCAGCTTACTTACTTAAACTTACTTTCTTAAATGTTTAGAGTATTTCTTGTGATGAGGAAAAATTCTCTGAACTGTGAAAGTGCTGCTTTTTGTTTGTTTTGTTTTTAAAAATAGAAAACATTAAACATTAAAATACATAAAAACATCTTGGAAATATTTTAATGTTTCAAACTGTGAGATATATATACATACACACACATGTTGCTGTCCAGTTAGCATGTTCACTTAAGGAGAGAAATCTAAAATAAATAATATTTGAGGTTGTACTGATTTAAAATTAAGAAGACAGCAGGAGTTCTGGTGTTCTTGAGGTTGTGTGCCATGTTTTTATACTGAAACCCAGAGATTGGGACAGAAAGTTTGTACTGTTAAAACAAACAAAACCTCATTGAGAATATCTGAATTTTGTATCAACAGAATCCAAAAACTTACGCAATCGTGAAACAATTGCTTGCGGAAGGAAATGCCGGAGAACTGCAGAAATACTTTGGCTCACGGATGGAGTTTGGCACAGCAGGGCTCAGAGCTGCCATGGGAGCAGGGATTTCCCACATGAATGACTTGACTATTATCCAGACAACCCAGGTATTGTGTTCAGCGCTTCATCTCACTTAACTGGTTGTGTATATGAATGGAAGAGCCTCATTTATGGCAAGCAAATGAGTATTCTATGGAAGTATGAGCTGTATCCTATTCTTCCAGTTTTCAGAAGTAATTAAATTATAATTATTAGCTGAGTGCTGATCTCTGAAAACAAGCAGAGAGAAGCTATTAAACCATTAAAAGAAGTTACTTTCTATATTTGATTTGCAATTTAATTTATACACAGCTGCAATTAAGGTCAAGTGTAACAGTTAGTGCTGTTGTAACAACTACAAAGGTGGCCAAAATTTGGCTAAGCTTTGTGTGTGCTGGACATGGATTAACATAAAAGCAGTGAAGGTATGTATACATACATAGATCCTAAAGTAGATCTACTTGGGGAAAAAGCCCACAACCTTGAATAACTGCAGCCTGTAGTGGTGATGTCGCTCTCATGTGCTAAAGAGATGTCATTATTAAGGGTGAGGTTTGGTTAAAAACCTGAAATATAGGCCAGCTATTCTCTTCCTCATGTGAGACCTAAGACAGCTGAATCATTTCTCAAAACCTGCATTTTGGACTAATTGTTACCTGTTCTTTTTGGACTTGGTTCTGATATTTTAAAAAGTACTTAAATGCTGTCCAGGTTTGCAATATTGATTGGAAGGTTTCTGATATTTCTTGGTGTTTATTGGTCCTTGACAAGCTGAATCCCAGAGTAGTTCAGTGAGATGCTGTCTGCTTAGCTTCCTAAGACATCACCATCTTAGCAATCATCTTAATGCTATGATAAATTAAACATCAGTATTGAGTTAATGAGGTGGATTTGTTGTTGTCTTTAGGGATTTTGCAGATACCTTGAGAAGAATTTCAGTGACCTGAAAAAGAGAGGAGTTGTGATTGGGTTTGATGCTCGTGCTCATCTTTCCAGTGGAGGTAGTAGCAAAAGGTACTTCTTATTTTTTGTATTTAGTATTTTGTAGATGCCTTGTGTGATCCATGATGGATTTATATCTACTTCAACTATATTTTCTTTCTGTAAAGTGAATTAATATGTGTGATTTACAATATTCTTACATACTGGTAATGCCAAAGCAGTTGTTAGAGGTGTGCTTTGTCTATTGGGAATAGTGAGGGAACGCATTTAAATTGGGTCTGTATAATAATTGAGATATATTGTTAAGTGATGGTATTTGCTGTCAGGATTTTGTAATTGCATTAGGGTAGGAGGGAAGGCTGTGAATTCTAGTAAACTAATTGGTAAGAAAATGAATATATTCCCAAGGTATCTTTTCTTCCTGTTTAGGTTTGCAAGACTTGCTGCCAATACCTTCATCAGTCAGGGAGTTCCAGTTTATCTGTTCTCTGATATAATACCAACTCCCTTCGTGGTAGGTTTTTCTATTATGTCTTTTTACGTACTATATCTTCTTTATATATATATACAAATTCTGTCAGATAACCTTGCATTATTTATATTAAGGATAACTGTACAAACAGTTCTTACTTTTTAAGCTCTTCCTGCAGTCAGTCTTGTACTTATTTAGCTATATATAGTTTACAACATCTATAGCAAAAGAAGGGAGAATGTGGAATGTCAGCAGATTACTGTGGAGTCTGAAGTCTGAAACATACACTCACATTTGGCAGGATTTTTACCTTTTTTTTGGGGGGGACAAGGGGCGAGTATTGAATCCATAATAGCAAGTTGTTGGAGTGCAGTGATGTTTTGCCAGAAGGGTTGTTGGAGTGTGTCCACGATGGCCTCATCAAAACACCAGGTGTCTCCAGAGCAATATAGAAAAGCCCTGCTCTTGGCCCTGGTACTAAAAGAAATAATTTCTCCCTATACCAATTGCTCCAGTGAGCATTGCAAACAGAACACAGCATTTTTATACTGATAATTTTATTTTTTTTTTGTAGATTTAGGGTCAAATTCTTAATAATGCAGCTTAAAGTGGTGTTGCAAGAGCTGCAGTTGATTGCATTTCACTATTAAATAAAGTGAAATAGGAGTAAATACAAACTGGAGCTATGTTTGTGAATAATGCTTTATTTTTCATTCACTCCACCTGTTTTGAGCTAATTTATAGGAGCTCTCTCCAAAACAATTCCTTTCTGAACCCCAATGGAGTAGTTGCTCCCCAGGCTGCTCCCAAAAGACAGCATGGATGAGACTGCTTGAGCTGCAGTTCTCTGTCCTGTGCTGACTTTGGTCATTACCCCAACAGACTTGGCACCCTCTAAGGTCTCAGGTACCTCAAATCATTCTAGAGTAGGCAGCATGTGCATCTGGCTTCCATATAGAAATACACTACCCTAAAGATTCACAAGGCATCTGGAACAATATTAATAACGTATAAATGGAAAAATGTGCAAGAAAAAGCAAGGGCTGAAGTTGTGCCACATGGAATCTAGTGAAGCAAGTACTGTTTAGCTTCTGCTTTAAGGAGTCAGTGTGTAGGAATCACATCCTGACTTTTCATTCAGCACTATGAAAGTATTATATGGGCATGAGAAGAAATAATATATAATATGTTGCACATTCTACTCAAGTAACTTTTTCTTGTTACAGCCATACACAGTAACTCATCTGAAGCTTTGTGCTGGAATTATGGTTACTGCTTCCCATAATCCAAAACAAGACAATGGTTACAAGGTATTCCAATGTGATCTATTTTCTGGCTCTGCTTTTTCCATGTAGAGAAACGAATGCAATTGTATATAGTTCCTATAATGGTATAGACTAAATTAATTACTATCTCTTTATCTCTCCTATCTATTCTATGTACTTAAAGGTAGAATCATCTTAAACTAATAATATAATTAAAGTCTTTGCTTGAGAAAGCAGAATGCCATTGTAATCTGCTGTCCACACTAAAAAACACAGCTGAATTGCCAGTCATTCAGCAGCTGGGCAGTCTTATACAGACTGTTCCGAAAATACAAAAATGGAAGTTTTCTCAGTAAATGACCAGGCCTTGTTTTGTGTGTCATTATAGATCTTGATATCTTTTGATAAAATTAAACTGCTGCTTTTTTTAATAGAATAAAAAAGGAATGTAAGAAGAAACACTGAGAATATGAACAGAATACTTTGGGTATACCTAAGCCTAATTTACTGTAATACTCTAGTGAATGTACTGCACCTTAACCAACAAAAACATAACAAAACTATCTTATAAGATTCATGCTCATATATTCACTTACCTATTTTATTTAGGTTTACTGGGAAAACGGTGCTCAGATAATTTCTCCTCATGACAAAGGAATTTCTCAGGCTATTGAGGAGAACCAAGAACCGTGGCCTCAGGCTTGGGATGACAAACTGATTGACAGCAGCTCACTACTTCATGATCCATATGCCATGGTCAATAAGGAGTATTTCAAAGACATACAGAAACAGTGCTTTTACAGGTGACTGGTGTTAATTCCTTTAAGAATATAGGATATTCCATCTAGTATGTTAGCCAGGCAGTTTAAATTGATAGAAGTGAGGGTGGCCACAATCCTGCCATGATCCAGTTCTGCCTGTGCCTTTTTGTCGTCTTTTGTGGTAGCACTGGCAGCTGTGTGGTGCTGTAGTAAGACAGTTCATAAAGCTGTCCTGGCAGAAGTCAAACCCAGAAAAGTGAGCAAATTTCTGATGTCTCCCTGTATTTTCATGGCCTTGCATCAGCCAGGTGTCACAGCAAGACTGGAACTGTTGGAGGTGAGCTGGCATGGACAGCCCACCAGCCTTAAAACAAGATTCTGAGAGACAGTGAACCAGGTTGTTAAGCCAGTTCTGGACAAAAAAGTTCTTGCTCTGTCCTTCCAGCCTTGCTTGTGCTCCTGGTAGCCTTGGGGGCCTTACAACAGCCTATTCTTATCACTTGCTTAGTAAAATGTTTACTCAGCAAAATGAAGTGGATGTTTTGTTGGTGATTAACAGTTAGAATTGATTTATGTAGTAGATGAGTATCAACCTTTTAGATCTGCTTATTTTATGTAGAAATTTTAACCACCAGTAACCATGTTCTTACTCTTGCTAAAAGCAGTTAAAAAGAGTTACTAGAAAGCTGGGGCTACTAAACTGCTTTTTCAGAATTGGATTTAAATGTCTCCTTAGGAGTTTGCATGATTTTAGGTATGCCAAACACTTTTTACCTCCTAAAAGTGAGTATGCTCAAATTGGGCAGGCTGCTGTTGACTCCCTGTGTTCACAGTCTTTGGGGCTGGTTTAAATGCTAGAGTTGGGGATGAAAAGTCTCTTTTCACTTGCCTTGTCTGGGATATGTATAGTGCACTGTCTTTCTTACTCCAGTGATTTGCACATACCAGGATATTGGATGTCAAGAGTGACTCATATTGTTAAAAAATGAGGCTAAGCCGATTTTCAAGCCATTGCTTTTAAATCTCACCTCCTTTAATTCATAATTTTATGAACAGTGGTGTAGAATACTGAGTTGTATCTGTTTCCAAACATAGTCAGTTTTGTGCAGAACAGTCTTCCATGTCCAAGTTTACTATTGACCTGTTTTATTTCAGGAATATAAACAAGGAAACAAACCTGAAATTTGTTCATACTTCTGTGCATGGCGTAGGACATAAATTTGTGCAGTTGGCATTCAAGGCATTTGACCTCAGCCCTCCTTTTGCTGTTCCGGAGCAGAAAGATCCTGATCCAGATTTTCCCACAGTGAAGTATCCAAATCCTGAAGAAGGCAAAGGTGTTCTGGTAAATTTATTTATTTATTTATTTATTTATTTAATAGTTGTGATGTCTCTCAGTGTTTTCCTTTTTGCCAAAAGTCACAGCTGTAGATATTGGTGGAAAGTCTATTTTTAATCTGTTTCATAGCCTTACATTTAGTGAAGAGTTAGCTGGTATCCTGTCATTAACATAGCCCTCTTTGAACCAGACAGGTAGTAATTAGCTATAACTTTGAACTACTTTGTTCTATGCTTTAACAGAATGGGCAGGAACTGCACATGGGACAAAGTGGTAGTTAATTTTTAAAAATAAAATAATAATAAAAATCTTCACAGTTGTTTTTGGAAGGCTTCTACTCTTTTGTTCTGACACAACACCAGGAGGGGGCAGAAGTCCTGACAGGTGGTTAGAGTTTCTGCTACTATTTCTGTTACACTTTGTTTTTGAAGGATCCCATTAAATCGAGGTAGCTTTTAAGTTGTGCTACAGAAGTGGAATGATGTAGGTAAAGTCAAAGGTCCTGACTATGTTCTTCTGCTGCCAGGCTAGAAGTTTTTGGGTATTTTGAGAGACACATAATGATTGTGTGTTTGAGATTAAATAAATTGGGAAAATTACTTAAAACCTATAAAGAAAGTCAAAATATTATTTGGGAATATTAATGCTCATCTCGTCCTGCTTTCCACTTTTCCAGACATTGTCTTTTGCTTTGGCTGAAAAAGACGGGGCAAGAATCATTTTAGCAAATGATCCTGATGCTGATCGACTGGCAGTGGCAGAGAAACAAGAGAGGTATGGTAATAAAGTAATGCAAACCATTGACATTTTTACTCCCAAGGTTAGACTCATTTGAAGAATTCTTGTTACTTGCATTGCAGAGGAAGAATAGTCACAGTAGTAATTTTTTGGATTGAAAACACACAGAAATATGAGAAGACTGTATGAAGCAGACCACGGTAGGGGCAGGATATGAAATAATGATCAATATTAGACAGTGTTCAGAAGCCTGAATAAATAGTTGGCACTTGCTGTAGTTTGGGCATGCACAGAAGCATGTGAATTGTTATTATTGTGCCATACCTTTTCAAAGGTGGGTTTTCAGTTAGGTTTTTTTCACTTAAGATCAATAAACGCTTTTTCATTCTAGGTTTATTAAACAATAACTTGGATTCAGGAGAATCTGTATAGTTCCCTGATAATCTCTTTTTCTTCATATGAGTGTCTTCTTTCTCAAATCCTGTTAAACCAAGCACTTTACTAATCATCAGATGATTTGTGCTTCTCTTGCTCAGTTTCCCACTTCTTTACATAATGTTATGTACTTGCTTTTCAATTTCACCTTAAGGTTTTTCACAGTTTGGTACTTCTTGGTGTAGTCATTTGTACTCTCCCTTTCAAGAACCACCTATATGTGCATTATTTGTCTTGGTATACCCAGTCAAAGAAGGGGGTCACAAACGGTAAACTTGCTCAGTCAGGGGTTTACCATAAATTGATCATATTTGTGAAATGGAACCTATAGTTCTGACTCAATATGGCTGTCCCCTTGTTTCATTCCCTCTGATATCCTGTACTTCTACAATTGTTTACATTTCTGTATTGTGATTTTATCTGATGAATAAAAGAAAGATGGAGTTCAAACAGTTGGTATCATATCTACAAATAGTGGTGTTTCTTCTTTATCTATCTTGATAAATCAGAAACTAATCTGAGCAGTTAGAAGCTATAAATCCTTAGTAAAAATAAACTTCAAGGTTTCCAGCTTTAAGAGGATCAGAAAAAAATCTGCTGCTGGGCCAGCATATATGATTTCCCTGTGCATAAGAGCCAGAAGAGGGATGTAAAATTATGGCAATGGTCTTTGGTACACGAAGGATGATATGGACATCTGCTAGATGCCCTTAGTGGATGTGGATAAATTAAATAGTTGGATCTGTATCAGTCAGACAAATTTCCAAAGTCCAGTAAAAGGAGACAGTGCAAATACCCATTTTCCTCAACAGATGACCAAAAAAACTGAAGTAGTAGCTTTAAAAGTGGCAGTATTTTCTTTGGAGTTTTGGGGTGCTTTTAAACTCATTAGCGTTAAAACAAGAGTGCAAAATACCTCATGCTTTTTGTCTGAAAACTTTGAGGTATCAGAAACTTGGAGAGGGGCGTTAGTTTATTGTATCCATTACCAGTGAGAGCGTGGTGCTCTCATTCTGGTACCTCTATGCTCGTTGTTTAGCCAGTCTTGGTGTCTCCTAATTTCCAGTCCTGTGTCTTCTTTCATACACTAATCAAATATTAATATAGGCTTCTACAGTATCTGTACTTCTTCTTTGACAGAACCTCCTGCTAGAGCACACTCTCTCAACACTCTTACACTAAGTTGCCGCTGTGCATTGCTTTGTGCCTGTTGGCATCAATAAATGCAGGAGACTGAGTCTGCTTCTCTTTCACAACAGGTACTGTTTCTGTAGGTCTTGGTTTTGTCAGTTTGAAAGTGTCTCTGTCCCCTTTTGTGACCAGGAATTTTTTTGACAATTTTGACATTTGTCTCTTCTTTTCTTCATTTTTTTGCCTGTTCTAGCAACACATCAATATAAATAATCTTTTTTACCCATTTAAGATTTTTTTTCCAATCTTCCCAATGACTAATTGATGTATTTGTGATTAAATGAAAAGTATTTGTCACTAGGTTAACTAAAAATACTGATCACTTGAGAACTGTATTTTTGTCTCTCTGTGCTTGTCTTAATCACTGAGTTTGTAATTTGTATGCTGAAAATTTTTGTTTTACTTAAAATATATTGGAAATATCACTGTTTTATCTTTGGATAACTGCAAAAGCTTATGTGTATGATGGAGAAGAAAGGTAATAGTTTCAGAATGCATTGAGGGAGGAATTTTTTTCTTTGTTCATTATGAGCACATGATACCTTGTTACTGTAACTTGAAATTCCAAGGCAGTGGTTTATTTGTTAATATTAATTTATAGAAGAACCGATAAGGTTTTTTTTTTGCCCCCTGTGTTATCCTTTGAGTTCATACTTTCTAATATTTTTTTGCCTCTAGTGGTGAATGGAAAGTGTTTTCTGGAAATGAACTAGGAGCTCTTTTAGGCTGGTGGATCTTCACTTGCTGGAAAAATAACAGTAGGGATACTTGTGCCATTAAAGATGTCTACATGTTATCCAGTACTGTTTCTTCCAAAATTCTGAGAGCAATTGCACTAAAGGAAGGTTTTCACTTTGAGGTAAGCAAAATGTTACACATTATACCATGTTTTTTTATTAGCTAGCCTACAAAGTGTCATATGCTTATAAAACATTGCTTACCTTTTTAATGCCTTTGATTTCTCCTCGCTGCTGTAGGAAACACTGACAGGTTTCAAGTGGATGGGCAACCGTGCCAAACAGCTCATGGACCAGGGGAAAGCTGTTCTCTTTGCATTTGAAGAGGCTATAGGTGAGGGACAGAATGTTATGTTTTCGTATCTTGCAAAACAGTGAAAATAGAACAACTGCAAAAAGTGGTAGAATAGCAGGGAATCACAGAATGGGTAAGGTTGGATGGGACTGCTGGAGGCCATTTGGTCCAGCCTTGCTACTCAAAAAAGGCTTCCTAGGGTACATTACACAGGATTGGGCCCAGATGGTTCCTGAATATCCCCAGGGAAGGCTATTCTACAGTTTCTCTGAGCAATTTTTGCCAGTGCTCTGTTAGCGTTTCATTAATGAAATAAAATGTAAAAAAAAAAAAAAGGTAAAAATGGCAACGTAAGGGTGTCCTCAATACAATGGGTGTATTTCCAGTGAGTAGCAGATAATTATCTATTTGGCTAATTGATACTAGTGGTTAAAACTTTTGTATCTCTGCTTAGCACAAAGTTTGTGGGCTAGGAGTATATATGTACAGCAGCATGGCTATGCAGATTTGGATTGCAAATTCTGCATAAACTATTTTTAAAAAACAGAAACAAACACATTTTCCAGACTTGGAGTTGAGTATTTTTACCTGACAGATTTAAGCTCAGTGTAAATGGGAATAAAATAAAGTAAAAACTACTTCAAATTACATTTGTAAACTGGAAAGCCATAGTTGAAAGCCACAAATGAAAGTTATGAATTCATGAGAAGGAAATTGTAAAGCTATAGTGCTATTTAAGTATGTCAGTACCTGAGAACCAGAGAAAAAGTCACTAATTTCACACATAATTATCAGTGTTACCTTATGCTACTGTATAAGGTAATCACATTTGAGACAATGTTATACTTGCATTATTCCTGCAGTGTGGCATTTCTCTTTCTAGAAAGCTCCATAAAGACCTGGGAGTATGTGGCACTGATACAATGCAAATCTCTGTCTTGAAATTCCATTAAATACCTTGCTTATTAAAACGAATACTGATTAGAAGATACAATTTTTCTACTTTTGTTTTGACTCTAAAATGTCTATACTATGGTAATGTGCATTTCTCCTTTCAAAGATGTTGGCTAACCTTCTCTCCCCATCCTATTTCCTGTTAAAAATGTGTCAAATTATATCTAATTTTCCTTGTTTAGGGTATATGTGTTGTCCTGCTGTTCTGGACAAAGATGGTGTCAGTGCTGCTGTTATAACTGCGGAAATGGCCAGCTTTCTGGCAAGCAGGAATTTGTCTTTGTCTCAGCAGCTGAAAGCTGTCTATGATGAGTGAGTTCAATTTTAATTTTTTATTTTCAGATTTTCTCAATTTCACATACTGGGGTTAATAGGGACTCAATAGCAACCTGTAGTTTATAAAGAACTAAAATACGATTATTGTATTATTAAAACAATTCTGTGCTAATAGTAAACTTCCAGAAAGTGTTCCTGTCTTGTGGACAAATATATTACTTTGTTTTGTGTTGTTTTAGGGTTTTTTAGATATAATAATAACTACCTTACTAATTCTCTATTAGTTAATGAGATCTTTTTTTCTTCATTTGTCTGAAATGTTTTTTCCTTTTGGGAAATTCTGCACTTGGGTCCTTTTACAGAAGATTGGGCAGGTTTTTGGCCAGCTGTATTGCTGACCTGTAGAGATTATAGTGTTTCTTGCTGCTTAAATGAGCCAGACACACAAAAATGTTGATGGCAGAATGGGTCTAAGTAGCTCTGGCTTATTTATGCTGTATATAGAAGGAAGCCAGCTTACTTCTGTCCTTGCAGGGCTACTTATGATTAAATTAATTCTAGTTGGCTCTGAAGTTAGGCTTTTTATTGTATTAGTCTTTTTTTTTTTTATAGATTATTGTTGTTGAGTTTTGGTTGTCCTTTTCTCTTTCTGCCCCTGATTAATGAGATTTGAGCTGCAAGCTGTGACTAGCCATTACTCTTGGCTATATACAGCTGGGTATCCCTCCAAGAACTTCTAGTATGAGGCACTACTTTTTCTTTTGTTCTTTTTTAATAGATTCAAAGAAATCAATAAATATTTGATTTCATGGGGCAGGGAGTGGTTTTTGTGGAGGTTTTGGGTTGTTTGTTTTAAAGGAGGGAGAAGCATGGGCTATTTGATACTCTCCAGCTCTACTTGTCTTGTAGACACTAACAGGAGAGAGTGGAACCTGCAAAGAAACTCATGGAAAATTTCAGCCTTTGTGCCACTTGTTTTGCCAATCCTGAGTTCTTATTTGTGTGCAGCATTAGCCATGCTTGTTTCATCATCTCCTTAGGAAGGAATCAAGTGGTAAAGACTTGCTTATGCTGCGTACATAAATTGTGTGATATGAGAGCATGAAAGAGGAATTCATACGTAGAGTGGCAAATACAGTATCTGATATGAGAATTCCCTTAAATGCTACTAGCTGGAAGTGCATATTCAAGAATTAAATATTCAACTTCTGGCTTGAGGTTTTTTTACTATTTTTTTATATACTAATACAGTAAACACCCACTTCAGGTTGACCTCAGAATATTTGACAGAGTGTAATTGAGCTGTGCCACAATGCTGCTGTGCACATAGCCACTGAAGAGGACTTGGAGCTGCTTTAGCATAAAAGCAGTCTGTAAGATGTCACTGCACATAGTCACTTTGTGGCAGAGCTACAGATAGAGGGAGAGATACAAATCTGCCCGATTCAATTGTTGTTTGATAATGAGCTGGAAGGAGGGGTCTTGTTTTGTTTTGAGGGGTTGTTTAGTATGTGTTTGATTTTTGTTTGTGGCTAATATGGAGTTGCAGTTTTCTACTACTTACTACTTTACTTTTTTGTTAGATTTGCCTTCTGAGTTATAGTTGAAACAGAAGAAACTCTATTTTGTATTTTGGAAATATAGAAGGGGAATCTGTCCTGAAGTAAATTCAGATCAGAAAAAGGACATGCTCCTAGGAGGCTTATTACTTCTTTCAGATACAGGATAGGTTTTGTTAATTCCCTTACTGAACTCCTAAGACTAATTTAACTACTATTAATCTTCAAGATGTCCATTTAGTATAAACATGACTCTGTTTAAGAAGGCATTCAGATTTCTAGTGCAAACATCCTAGTACTAATGAAGATTTTGCCCCTCAGATTTTCACTGCCATCAAGGATATTTATCAAGTCTTGATCTGTAGCAAGAGCTCACTTGAACAACCAGTCCAGGCTTGTATGTTTTTCGACAATATGCTGTTTTGAAAAGTCAGTGTTACCGGGTCATTCATCTTTGATGCATCACATTACCTGGCAGCAAACAGGTGAGGTAGAGAGACAATGTTCAGAACAGTTTGGTTTAGTAAAAACACTTTAATGGGAGAGTAGAAACGTTTTAATGAAGTGTGATTGGGAAAAGCAATCTAGGATTTGTTTTACTTAGGAAAGATCAGCTGGAATCCACTCAAAGAAGCTATTAGCTGTAATCCCTTCCATTGGTGGTTAGAGCTCTTCAAGGCAATAATGGTATCTTTTTTTCTTCTGGTTTTGCTGTAAACACTGTTTTTATCATTAAAAATAAAAGGCATCTGCACAGAAGTTTCTTTAAAGTATGTAAAATGGGATAATTAAGCTGTTTATATATTTTTTTAATTTTAAGGGCATGAACTGATGCTTCAGTTGGATGAGTATGAGTGTTGCTTTTTGGAAGGTTGTATAATGTGTCTGGATTCCCTAATATTGTGTCTTCACAGATATGGCTTCCATATTACCAAAGCTTCGTATTTCATCTGCCATGATCCTAAAGTTATTCAACAGCTTTTTGACAACCTTAGAAATTTTGATGGAAAAAACACATACCCAAAATCTTGTGGTAGATTTAAAGTTTCTGGAATAAGGGATCTAACTACTGGGTATGACAGCAGCCAGCCAGATCAAAAGGCTGTAAGTATCTTTCTAAATTGCATGTAAAGCATACACACATACATACATAAAACATTCTGTGGAGAAACACTAGACGTGTTTACATACTGAGTCATAAAATAAGTTAGACTGGTGACAATTGTTTTGCCTTAGTGAGAGGAAGTGAAGCCAAGGGGGTGTTGGGTTTTTTGTTAGGTTTTTACAGTATACTTTTCTCTCCAAGATGACAGCTTGTAAAGGGCAGTAGGAGGATCCTGCTGCCTTGCTATAGCAATCTGCATTGTTTTCTTGCGGGTGCAAGTTAAACTGTCTATTAAGATGTGGCTTTGGATTCTACATTATTCCACAATCTCCACTTCCTTTCCTCTTGGGAAATGCCATGATAGCTCAACTTCTTTTAGCAGTAAAAGAGTTGCCTAGATTTGAAATTAGCTACCTAGCAGTGATGCAGTTCAACCAGATTCCAGGCTGAGGGCAAGCCTGTCCGACCACAATGTTGAAGAAAACAGAGCTTAACTATAATTGTAGTTGATGCTTTTATCATGTTATCTAACATCAAGTCGTGGGTTTATATATAGTCTCTTTCCAAGTTAAAAAAAAAAAAAAATTCTTAATATTTCTAGATACTTCCTACTAGTAAAAGCAGCCAGATGATAACATTCACTTTTGCTAATGGAGGAGTGGCCACAATTAGAACCAGTGGGACGGAACCAAAGATCAAATACTATTCTGAACTTTGTGCACCCCCTGGAAACAGGTAATGTCACTTACAGCAATACATTTGGTGTAGTAGAGTCTGTGTGGATCTTTGGTATTGTTTTAGTGAAATAGGAGCTCTCCATGATCAAATAATATTACTAAAGTCATTTTAGTCAGTGTATTTGTGTAAAGCTTCAACTCTGCAAAATTTTTTGACACATTCTTGTTACTGTAATTTCTTTGAACTCAGTTTTGCATTCAGTGAACAATATCAGCAAAAACATTCTGCCTTAAATAAATGCAAATATTTTCACCCCTTTTTTACATACATAGTTCCTTTAAAATTGTTTAATCCAATATAAAGTATTTTAATATATTTGAAACCTTTTTATGTTTAATAATTATATCCTTAACTGTTAGCCTTGGAAATCATACAATCTTAAAGATAAATAATTATTAGCTTATATAATGAAAATAACACTTTTTCACAGATGAAAAGTCATCTAAGAATACTGTTACAAGTATAAAAATTACACTTATAATCACTTACATTTAGTAACAGAAGATCTTCTGAACTCAAATTTGCCATTCCACTTTAGATTATACTATATATATAATAATCTATATATAGATGATCATATTATATTTAAATAGATTATATATAGACTATATATGGAGTTCTATTTCTTCATAGTCTTCATGTATATCAGTTGAAAGTGAACATCAGTGCATTGCCATAAGAAATCAAATATATACACTTTCAGCATTAATAGAAAATGTTTGTCTAAAGCAATGCAACAGATTTAGAAATTCCTCATACTAAAAATATACATTTTAGCTTTTCCATTGTTTCACTGTTTTCTATGTTTGTGTGATTTTCATTTTCCAGTGATGCTGAACAGCTGAAGAGGGAACTAGATGAATTGGTCAATGCTCTTGAAAAACACTTCTTTCAGCCAGAAAAAAACAAACTTCAACGAAAGACTGAGTAAAATAGCAAAATAACTACCTTGATTGGGTTTTGCAGCATTAGAAGTGCATTATTTAAGGAGTTGAAGTTTTTTTAGGACCAAACTGAGAACTCTGACTATAAAGAATTATGCTTTTAAGAGTTACTTTGGGTACTCTTAGCTCTAGTATCTTATTTTGACAGGAAAGTACCTTTACCCTTAATGGACCAAAAAACCCATCAGTTGAACTAAAAGCTTTATGAACTGAAAGTTGACTGCAAATGTATTTCAATCAAAATTTGTTTTAATTAAATATAAGTAATATTCTGGTATCTGAAACAGCCTTTTTTGTGGTGACTTGTTTCTTTTGTGTGCATATAGTCTGAAAACACTATGCAACTTTGTCTAGGTTTAGATTTGCAAAGCAAGTTCTCCTGTTAACAGGAAATATTTAAAGCCTGTGGTGAGATGGACAAACTTGGGGCAGATGATTCAGAAGTAGTGATCTTTTATAGGGATTTCAGCCCAAATAAATGAGGAACTTGCAGCAAATTTTTTAAATATCTATTTGCTGTGGGACTATATATCATATTCCAGGCTAAAGACACAGTGTACTGAACTGTCTTTGAATACCATGAACCCATTAAGATAGTATATCTACATACAGCACCTTTTTGTTGCCTCACTGAACACAGTTGAATTAGTTCAATGCATAGCCCAATTTTGGAGCCTCTCACACTGTTTGCTGCCCTGACTTGGTGCATAACTCTGTGTTTAACTTAGAGCAGAAGTTTCCATTTCATTGCATGCTCTTGTCTGTGCTTGCAAAGCCTGAGAGGGTTTTTTGGAGTTTGCCAGTTGACTTTAATATAGTGCTTTTCTGCATTTTCAGTACTTGCTTCGGATATTAGTGTAGCATTAATAGTCAGAACCATAGGTACATACTTAGAAATGCAAAATTTCTAAGCTTGATTATCCTCCCAGAATTCAAGTCCTCTGTGCTTGTTATTTTCAGTGCAATTTGAAGATTGCAGCAGTTGTGCAGCATGGTACAGAGAGGCAGCCCTGGGGGACTGGAAGGAGAAGAAGTTTTACAGTCTGATGTACCACTGTAGATCATGTGCAGTCTTGTGGTGAGAGGCCTCAAAAATGAGTCTGGGGATGCTTCAGGGATCTTTGGTGGTTTATGACACCTTCTAAGATATGACAGCTGCCTCTCAAGTCAGCCTAGTTGAGTGAATTATGACCCATCAGAATGAATACCTTCAAGCCTCCATGTGAATGTCCCTGTACTTTTCCAGAGGGGAGTTTTCATGCCTGAGCTAGTTGTGTAAAGGGGGACATTGGCATGATAAAAAGCACTATCCCATCATGCAGGATCTGCTTACTGGCTTCCTCCTTGCTTGAAGGCAGACAGAGGAATGGTTCTTCAGGAGGCAGGCTGGGGCAGTGCCTTCTATTTGAGCATTGATGAGCTACACCCAGGGCTGGAAGAAGTTTTGTGGGTCTGTACAAGCCTGCAGCCTTGGGCTTCAACAAGGGAGGTGATTCTTTCCCTCCACTCTGCTCTTGTGAAACCCCACCTGGAGTACTGCATCCCAGCACAAGAATGACATGAACCTGTTAGAGTAGGTCCAGGGGAAAGTCATGAAAACAGCCAGAGGGTTAGAATACCTGCACTGGGAAAAAAGACAGAGAGTGCTGAGGCTGCTCAGCCTGTAGAAGAGGCTATGAGATCTTTCAATATATGAAGAGAGCTTATAAGAAACATACTTTTTACCAGGGACTGTAGTGACAGGACAAAGGGAAACAGTTTTAAAGTGAAAAAGGATAGATTTAATTGGATACAAAGAAAGATTTATTTTTTTTTTTTATACTGAGGGGCATGAGAAATGGGAACAAGTTGCCCAGCAAAGCTGTTGGATGCCTGAAAGTGTTCAAGGCTAGGTTGGATGCAGCTTTGAGCAGTCTGATCTGGTGAAAGGTGTCCCTGCTTCATGTAGGGTGGTTGAACTAGGTGATTTTTAAAGGGGACCTTCAGACTGAAACCATTCCATCATTCCTTTTACTTTCATTTGTATTGGGAGGACTCACATTTATTTTGGTACAGAATATGTTAAAGGATGCTTTACTGAATTAATGGGGAAGAACTGAAGACAGAGGATTAGAGGTTCTGATTTTTTTTATATGTTTGTCTTAAAATCACAGGCTAGAGAGGCATATTTTACATGTGCCTTTTACAAAGCTGGATTAGGATTTTGCTAGTGTTAGAAGTCTGGAAGTGAGACCTGCAATGCACTCATGTGTACTGAAACATCCTTAGTATGGCTTTAGAGGATCTTCAGAAACAGTACAGACATTGGATGATGACCTAATCTTTATCATTGTCTTCCTAAGGTAAAAGAGTTTCTTGGCTCCATTCGTTTCTCTATTCCAGACAGAAGTTAACAACTTGGGGGCGGGGGTTGTGTGACCAAAAAAAGCAGCTGCTTGAGCAATTACAACAGACTGCAAAATTACAAGAGAAAACTTGTTATTGCTAAAGTCTTTACCAACTTGGTGTTGCGTCAGAGAAAGAGGATCTAGTACTGAAGTAAAGAATCAAAACAAAGGCAGCAAGAGTATAGCAAAGAGAGAAGTTAGTATTGCAAGTCAGAATGGGTGTTAAGCTGCAGTTTCTTTAGAGCTGGTCTAATTCTTACACTAAAGTGTTGTGTAAGATAATGAAGCCTACTTAGACAGACAAATGTAATTTATAAAAGAGCAGCCTTGAACTGGGAGCAAGTGTACTTACTAGTGTTCTATCCAGAAATGGGAATTGCCATGACTGGAATGAAGAGTGCTTACAGCCCAGACTGAACTCAGGCATAAGGGAATTCTTGGCTGTTTCTAGAGAAAGACACATCCCTACGTTACCAAAAACATGTAAAACAAGCCTGTTTTATATAACAGATGAAAACACAATTCCAGTTGTAAACAGTTGTGAAACCCCAGTTTTAAACATTGATCCTATAGGGGATTAGGCCTATGGGACTAGAGGGGAGGGCTGAGAAAGATGAGCATAGTATTCCAAACTCTGCCAAAATAAAACCCCAAACAATAATGCTTTAGGAGTAGACCAATGGACTTCACTTAAAGGTTATTAGTTTTTTTACAAGCCCAGTTTCATAAAATTTACTGAATAATTTAAAATTCAGGGATGGATTGAAACAGTTTGGCTGTTTCATTCCATCTTCCTTACAGGCTATGAACTTAGTCCATGACATGTTATGTAAAAATACTGTTATGATACTCAAGTACTGTACCTGAGTTGCAAAAGGATTTATCTGATAATTTTGCTATATACAACAAATCAAATTTGCTATATACAACAAATAAAAGGATAACTGGAATTCATTCCAAGGGAAGGTTTATTATATAAGCAATTTTCATGTTGTACAAATGTGTGCTTGAATATGTAACTGATTTACCTACAAAAAGTTTCTGTAAATAAAGTTTTTCTTCTTGCCAATTCTTTTAAAAGTTCCAGTGGTCATGGCTTTTATTTTCACGTACCACCAACAAGCAACTCTTATATCCTTGATTAACAATCACTGGAAATAGTAATATTAATATGGTATTAAATTAACAGTTGCTAACCACCAGTGTAAGTATTAACAAGTTTGGGGATTTTTAGGATTCTGACGCTGAAGGCATCTGGATGCCATATGTATATATAATTAATTGTAAATAAAAATAACCACCACTAAAAGTTTTCTGTCTCTAAGTACAAAACTAATCAAAGGTAATTAAGCTGAATTGCTTTCTTTCCCACTACATTTTTGCACTATACAAGATACACATTCATCAAGGTTAGTATTCCTGATCAACTTCAGGAAGTAGAAGCCAACATCACTGCATCAGGATGCAGAGAAGGAATGCTGTTGAATGTAGCCTGAAAGGTAATGATTAGGCAACTTTCATTGCAGGCAAGCTGAACATTCTGAGGCTAATTTCTTTTCCAATATCAAAGAGGAGAAAGAAGAAAGTATTTCTAATTGTGATGCTCTAGTATTGACTTTGGTTGTTGTTCAAGGATTTTCCAAGAAGCAATAAATAGTCTCATAGAATCCTTATCGGTTTCATTATGTTTTTTGAAAGGCAACAGTGAAGCAGCTAAAAAAGTCTTCCTAAGATCATTGGTTGGTAATTTCTGAAAGCATGAGCCTTGGCTGAAGTGCCAGAGCTGTCTGGGTGGGAATTGTGGTTCACCTTCTGCTACAGCATGGTTACCAGAAGCATATAATGCTCAGTCAGGTTTAAAATGAGCAAAAGGGCATACTTGACTTAGGTCCTGGTATTGGGTGATAACTGGAGTAAGAGCATGGTCCTTAGTTGTGATGGTTTAAAATCGAAAGACAGGCACTGGTTGCAAGGAGATGGCATTCCTCTTTCCAAGGATCGTAAAGATGTCACTGAAAAGCAAAAGGCACTTGTACCTATTCCCATATCTGAAGTGAAAGCAGCAAACCATGACCTGAGCACAGACTGGGAGCAAGCACTCTGGGTGAACTGCTACTAACATACCTCAATTCACTTACCAGCGATCCTATGGAAGCACACCTAGATGCCAAAGGTCATGGAGACACAAAGCACTTTGTACCTACGTGTGTATCTACACTTTATAAGCAGGGATGTCCTTGGATACCAGAATCTGCTTGTTTCTCATAATCTGCGGCAACATTGTGCTCGCATTTAACAGCTTGATTGTTTCCCTCACAGCAGCAGAGCAGATTTCCTTTAGAAAGCTCTGATTCTAGAAAAGCACACAGACTTAAAAGTGTGCAAAAGTGGTTTGCACAACGGGGATGTAGGGTGCCTTAATCATCTTCACTCGCAGAGAAGTATAATTAAGTCTCCAGATCCATTCATGCCTTATCCTTCCTGGCAGCTGGAAGACCAACTAATACCTATTCTTACAATGATTTTATGCATACGCAAGTGTGGTTTCTTTGAGGAAGCCGTCGAGGTGACTCAGGTGAGCTCTCAGAAGGCTGCCCTGCGGCCAGGGCTGGGCCCACAGCCGAGTGGGGACTCGACCGCTTCAGAGCCCGCGAGCCGGGCTAGTTCAGTTTTGTCAGCAGCCTTGGCTCGCCACTTCAGCTCACCCCGCCATCGCCCAGGCTCACTACCGCAAGGCGACAACACGTTTTCCGCGAGAGATTACAACCTGTGCCAGACACACGGGGCAGTGTCGCCGAAACGCTCTTCAAGAGGAACTTAACGGGCGAGGGGAGGAAGTTTCAGCTGCCCGCTGTCGCGACATGGGCGTCCCCCTGTCGCCGGCCGCCGGCCATCTCTGCCG